CTAAGCCTTCCAGAAACCAAACAACAAAGTAATTACTCTGGTTTTGGGGTGAAAGGGGGAACAAGAAATGAAAGAGAATTACCTACACTATTAAAAAGATGAAAAAATATTTGGAGCGAGAATGCTCAGCAAAAGGGAGACCAACAAAGCAGAATGCTCCATTAGATGTTTCACATGTGATAGATAGAAAACAACTGAGGGTAGCCACCCAGAAGTGCCTATAGAGAGAGAGGCTGGTTTTGCTGCCAAAATGACTCAGCTCTAGACCGTTTGGATAGTAGTTCTGCACAGGTGTAAGACTTGCATGTATTACTATTTTCCTGAAATTGTTGAAACATGTAAAATATGTATGTATCTATTTATGAGTGAGTATGTTAGAAATGTGAGACGTAATACAGAGTTTACCCGAGTCAAAGCTAAATGCTTTAAAGATTAAGTTCTCACTCATGAAAAGCAGTGATACTTAAAAACATGTCTGGATTGTGCAGAGTGATCAAATCTTTATGGAGTTAGGAAGTGTCAAACATACATTATTTCAAATGTGTCTGAAAGTAACAGAATAGATATTTTGCAACTATTATCTTATTTGGAGCAATTTAAAGGGTGTCAGCAGAAATTAATCATCACCCAATTTACAATGTACTGACATTCTTAAATCAGAGATACCACTAAATATATAAACTGCAAGCTGCTTAGCAGTTACAGGTGCTGCTGACCAGCAGATATTGTTATGATAAAAGTAGTTCACCAATATCACAATGCTAGAGAACAGCACTGAGAGAAAAAAGAGTTAGTACTGCTGGAATATGAGCAAGTGACTGAAAAGAAACTATCTGCTGAATAGCTTTGACAAAACAAGATCAAGCTGTCAAGCAGCAATTTTATCAAATCAAGGAGCTAGATTTTATTTTTATACAGCCAAAATGAATATGAGGAACATAACAGTTTATGAGGAACATAACAGTTTATGTGCCGTACAGCAATACTATCCTAAATAAAAAACAAGATCATACCTATTCTATATTTTTGTATACAAAGTCAATTGGAATGGTGAAGTGAAGATTTTAGGTTTGTGACCACTTATACAGTTATTTAATTTTTTTAAAAAAGTGTAACATTTATTTTTAAAATGAAATTTTGCAGTGCTGATGAAGAAGATTATCTACTGCATAAATAAAGATTACTGTTTTAATTGTCACATAATGGAAAGTCATTTCAGAAAAAAAAAAACTGCAAAGCAAAACATGCAGGGAAATGTGGGGAAAATTCTACTTCTGCCATCAACACTTAAAGCCTAACTACCACTCTGAGGAAGAAAAGAACACCAAGGAAGAAGGCTTGAACAGTACTACTTAAAGCACAGAAGAAGAATGTCACTAGAGTGTTCCTTGTTCCATGAGTCTAAATTTAGATTGGCTGCCTCTTATTCAGTGGAACAGGGAAGACCCACTGCCAGATGATACCAAGAAGCATTCTGGGGAAATGCCAAGTTTCACAGCACACAAAATATACAAACATAGAACTCAGTTTCACACATGTGCAGAAAATCAACTCCACCCAGTATATTCATCACAACCATATCGCTAGATATGAGCACATTTTTAGAAACCAGTTTTAAGTAGGAGAGATAACTCAGCACATGTATGTCAGAAAAAGCAGAAAACAAGTTAACACTACAGAAGAAATATCCATTTTGGCATGTGTGTTGGACTTACATCCTGCATTACTGCGTTGAAGAGGGTACATGAGGACAACTGAAAAGACTGAATCATAACCTGAGCAATCCCCTGTGGAGCAGAATAGAATGCACTTCCCAGGTCAGAACATAACCACAGATCATACATTTCAATGCCAAATATCAGTGAAATGACTAAGGGATTCAATCTGAAAAACCACCTCGTTAAAATGGTGCATTGTTTATTATGGAAAAAGGCCATTCTCATTTACAAGGAAGGGGACACCCAGCAGTTTTCATTATTCCCCTTTGACACACAGGCAAAGCAAAATTAACTCTCCAGAAAACATTAGTTTAGATTATGCAGACTGGCTCATCCCCTGGTTCATTTCCTGGCAAGCTAAAACAGGCAAGAATTGTAGAAGATGACAATGGTGGGAGACACTTTATTATACCACTCAAATATCACAAGCGGAAGCTAGCACTCAAATGTCTTCATGAGACTGAGCATTACGGAGCTGGGGGGTTGCAAAAATTAAAAACAAAAAAATGACTAGATATACAACCCAAATTCCCCCCTCTGTTTAAAGCAATTTCCAAAATGGGGGTGCAGGGTTAGTTCTGAGGTAGCAGTTTCAAATTTCATCTTTGAGGTTACAGATCAGAATATCTCTCCCCAGGGTGCCCAGTTACTGGCAGCCCTTTGTCTCAGACAACTGGGAGATTTTGGGGATAATGGAAGGATTGAGATGCAACCTGACTATCTGGGGTCCAGCTCTGTCTAGATGTTCTCCCAGATAGAGTACCCAATTCCAAAACCTATTTAGCAGATATTAATGCCACCAAAAAGCTACTTTAATTGAAAGGAGTCTGAAAATAAAAATGTGAAGGAGGTTAAATGGGGACTGAGGGCTTGTTTACGTGAGAATAAATGGGCTGATTGGGTTAAACAGGGTTGGTAGGAGGTCTGGTATGCCATTTAATGTGATCCTCACATCCATATACTGTAGCATATGTCTCTCAAGTGACCCAATCTGATCCACCCACAGCCTCCCTTTAGTTTAATTTGTCAATGTTGTGAATTGGCTTAATAAAACAGCCACTTCAAGATATTAGCAAATTAATTACTTCTGAGCTATGGAGTGGCCAAGGAAATGGGAAAAAAAGTGTGTACTGGGGAGTGAATATTCAGTGCACCACTTAAAAAAATTCGAAGGCTTCATGCCAGCAGCTTGCTTTACTTTTCCAGCGCTCTGGAGAAGAAGCTACGTCCATGCAGATTAAACTTAAATCTTCTGAAGAGTTAATTATGCTTTTCAGTGGCAGAGGGGACTCATCCAAACTGCAGGATGGCTCCTTCCTACAGATTGATAAGGAGACATTTAAATGGAATTATCCTAGTTTAAAGACATAACATCTCTAAAGCTCTGTTTATACCTACTTTATTGTAGTAGTGAAGCTATGGAAGCAAACTTGAGTACAGTGGTGCCGCGCATAGCGACGTTAATCCGTGCAGCAAAAAGCGCTGCTAAGCCATTTCGTCGCTATGCGATTTAAAAAAGCCCATAGAAACTCATTAAATCCTGTTTAATGCATTCTTATGGGCTTAAAACACACCTTAAAGCGAAGATCCTCTATACAGCGGCCATTTTCGCTGCCTCTTAAGCGAGGAATCCGTCCCTAAACACAGCGGCCGGCCATTTTTTTGACCTGGTGGCCATTTTGGAACCGCCAATCAGCTGTTAAAAAATAATTGCTTTGCGTCGATCGGTAATCGAAATGGAACCGATCATCACAAAGCGAAAAAAAAACCTTAAAGCGAAGATCCTCTATACAGCGGCCATTTTCGCTGCCTCTTAAGCGAGGAATCCGTCCCTAAACACAGCGGCCGGCCATTTTTTTGACCCGGCGGCCATTTTGGAACCGCCAATCAGCTGTTAAAAAATAATTGCTTTGCGTCGATCGGTAATTGAAATGGAGCCGATCATCACAAAGCGAAAAAAAAACCCCATTTAAAACATCGTAATGCAATCGCTTTTGCGATCGCAAAATCTTTGTCGCTATGCAGTTTCGTCACTAAACAGAGCACACGTTAAGCGAGGCACCACTGTATATTAATAATGCAGATGCAAACTGCAAAGTCAAGCAAGAGCTGGAAGTGATTACTTCTTCAGTACTGGCCCTCTGTCTCAAGGTACTAATGTTTTCTTCAACAGATTTAGGATTGCAATGATACAGCTGTACTGTGATACAATACTGACCAGAGGTAGAACTCCTCAAAGTCATAGTTGTAAGAGAAGCAAACATTGCAATAGAGACAGCAGTGTTTCAAAGGAAGGTTAGACTGCTGTAAACAACAATGCCTACCAAAAGCAGGATTCTGCTGTAAGCATGAGAGAAGACTGCTTTGCACAATTTGAGACTGAGATTGTCTATCTAGTACCTTGGATACCCTTTTCTCCCTGCACTCCGGAGATTCCATATGTACATGCACTCTGGCTCTTTTGATAGTGTTAGCTACTATTTAAAGTAGGGAGTTATATGGTCTACCTATGTCTCTCCTTTCTTCCCTATTTCTCACATGCAAAGTAACTGATTCAGAATCTGCTTTGATTATAGACATATATATATTCAGTCTCCTTGTACATATGAAGTATTCTTGGATTTCAGAAGTTAATTTTATCTTGGTTTAACTGTCTGCATAGCAAGCTCAACCTAAATGTATACCATTTTCTGTGCCTGTTTCATTGTACCACTTTTATTCACACAGAACCATATATATTCCATATGTTTTGATTCAAGCAGCAGAATCAATCCACAATATATTTGCTGCATTGGTACTGTTGGTATTTGGAAGATAGGGATCATTTGGTGAACAGTCGACATGGATACCCCTACCATCAGCTGCACTGTCTGGAATTAAAAGATTTAACTACAAAGGATGTGGCGAAATGCAAGTAATCCAAATGATATTTACTACTTTCACATGCGGGATTAATATTATTCGTCAACCCTAACATGCAATCAAGTATGCATTATAGTACCTTATTTAACTCCATCTGACAAAGACTCTGTCATTTCATAATACGGATTCAATTGTTATGACTTCGTATGCAACTGTACAAATAAACATTATTTCATACAGCAAATGCACTGCACACCTGAGTATATAGCAAACATTTTGAACTGCAGTCTTAAGAAGAGTTAATCATTACAAACAAATCTCATACACACTCAAAAGGAAAAACAAGCCAGTGCTATGAAATGGATAAAGCTAAGCGAACAAAGCTGCTTTGTTTTAGATGCATGAAGCTGCTGCAGTTACCTGAGCATGCTGGGATTGAGTAAGCTCCTCTTTCTTGCGTTTCATGAGCTCTTTTCTCAGCTCTTTTGGTGCTTTCTCCACTTCATTAAAAACCTACAGTGCACAAGCATGCAGAAGGTGTGGAAAATAACTTTTTTTCTCCACAGCAAGCATTTATGATGAATATGAGAGGAGCTGGTCAAGCAATTGGGAGGTGTAGAGAAAGCATGCAAAGTCAGAATAGTTTGCTTGGTAGAAAGTAGATGGAGGAAGCAGACATGCACAAAGGAAATGCTAACTGAATTCTAGAAAGAGTGCATGTGCTAAGTGAATATTACAAATTAGTTTCAGCATGCAATTATTAATGCATTGTTTTCATAAGCAATTTCTGAAATATCTGCAAAGAATTAAGATAGTAATAAAAACAGAAATCACCTTACAGTGAAAACAGAAAGGATTTTACTGCGTTGGCAAAAGCCTCACAATAGCAGGCTATTTAAATTAACACTACTACAACAGAACAATAACTGATGGCATTATGTCATATCTAAGCCAAGACAGTGTCTAAAGGGTAGCTTTCAGGAAAGCCATCACAATCTCAAAAGAAATGTTTGCACAGTACAAAGATAAATAAGATGTTTCAGGAAGGTATGAATTTGAAAGACCCTTGAAAGACAATTTGTTTGGAATCAAATAATCTTCTGATAATGTGGATTCAACAGATAATCAAAGAGTGCTGTGTTTTCATACTCTCATGAAGAAAAGATTCAGTTCTCAAGATCATTGTTACTTCAAAAGCACTAAACAGCTCATAAGTATCCAAGATTAAATGGCTGCTTGAGATTAGAAGAAACCACAGAAAACAAAGCCCAAATCACCACATGCTTTTCTTGTTTCTATTAGTGAGATCGCTTTCATAAAACCTCTTCACCAGCTTCCCCTCCTAAGACCCAATCACCAGTACTCAAAATGCAAGAAATTTGGTAAGAGAAAAAAATCAGTATGATACACATTAAAACACAAACATCACTGAAAAGTTACACATTATATCCTGAAACTTTAAAACTTTATGCTATGCAGTGTACATACAAACATACATACATATATAATGCATAGCATAAAGGCACTGTTAAAATGTTTCTTAAAATCTGATAGCAGGGGGTTTAGAAATCTGTGATCATATATATTACACCAAATTTGGTGACTTGACTAAGAATTATCAGGTGGCCTTTTAATTATTTTACTTTGCCACAACTGAAAAGTAAAAGATTTCATAGTGTAGTCAATTTCTCCAACACTCAAACCAAATATGGCTGCCTCTACTCCAGTTTAAGAAAGAAATGCCAAATTGGTGGTGTTTTAAATGAATCTGGGTTGTATCTATTGGGTTGTAACTACATGACTAGGTTGTATCTATGAAGTATCTACAGAGCTCTATTCCATGGGACAGACTTCTAAACCTACCCGCATAAAATTAATTAAATCACTTTTTGGTTTATACACACTTTTATGGTGTTGTTTCAATTTCTATACCACCCACAGTGCTAGATAATTTTGTGTAGTTCACAACATAACTCTGTAAACAATAACTTGCTCCCTCCCCCGGTGAACTGGGTACTCATGGAGCTTTATGGTGCAGTGGTTGAACTGCAGCACTGCACTCAAGACTCTGCTCATTATCTGAGTTTGATCCAGGGCTCAGGTAGTTAGCTCAAAGTTAACACAGGTCAGTAAACTGAGCACCCAGCTAGCCAGTGAGGGGGCAATGTATAGCTTATAAACCGGTCAGAGAGTGCTTTAAGTACTATGGGTTGGTGTATAAGAAGAACACTTTGCTTTACTCATTTTAATGAACTTGGAAGGCTGAATCAACTTTGTGTTGGCTACCTGAACCTATTGAGATCAAACTCAGGTGATGAGCAAAGTCTTGACTGCAGTACTGCAGTTTAACCACTGTGCCACAGGGCTCACCTATACTGCCAAAATATGTAAGTTACTATAAGTTTAAAGAATAACATTTCATATGCAGGAAAATACAAACATTCTCCTGTAATATCTTTTGGATGAATACCCATTCTCCTCATCCTCTTTTGTTCCGATTTCACATCAGCTCACTACAGTAAACATTATTTCAATAATTGGCTACATATACAGAAGAGATATGTGTGCTATATCTATTCACAACTGTTTCCAGCAATTTTCACTACTAAATCTCTACTTTTAAAAGCACTTTTAAAACTTCCTTCCACTTATAGGCCTTGATTACATAACAGTTCTTACTGTTCTAAACAAATGTTAAAGTTTTAACTTAAAAGTAATCAAGGTACTGAAAACAAATATTAACTCAAAGCTGTTGTTAAAATTTACAAAACATTCAAAGCTGCTGTTTTGACTTTTTTACTTATATACAAGGCTGATATTTTAATTGCACATAATTTCTTTAATATTTCAGTGCTCAAATATTATTAAAATATTATTAAAATAATGCATCTACTTATAGTTCTTGTTCCTTTAGTAGGAACATGCCACCCCCTTTTGTTTTATACACTCAGAATTTAACAGGAATGCAGATACCAAACTATCACCCATAATGCCCCCCCCGAAAACTATACTGATATATTTTACCTCTTTTTTTCTGTTTTTCAACATGTTCTGAAATTTGGACAATTCTTTCTCTTGTTCTGCTTTAATACGCTTTGCTTCATCACGTAGACGGTTTGTATGTTCTTGTTCTAATCGCTCTATTGTTTGTTTCTGCTGTTTTTCTAGATTTTCAATCTCCTGGTCATATTGACGTTTCTTACTCTGAAAAGAGATTTCATTACATTTAAATGTTATGAAGAGTTAAGTTTATTGGTTGTGCAGAGTAGCAAGGGTCTGAGTAAATAATAATATATGTTTGTGTATCATCTTACATGAAAGACTACTACAGCCTGAAACTTAGGAAAAAATCCATTTTACAGATATACACAGAGAAATACATAGTACAATATACCAGAAACAATTGGAAATTCAGGTCCAGGTCATAAGCACTGAAGTCATTAGTTCTGAAGACAAATTACATAACATAACTGTTCTATATCTATACTAATGATCATAAATGATTTTTGATTTAGGAGAGTCTAATAAAGTCCAACACATTTTCAAAAGAGCAGCTTTCAGAATTATATATAGGGCATGACCCAGAAGACCTGTGTGTTTTATAATGTACCCATGGTTTTAGAGAATATATACTAAGGCAGTGGTCCCCAATCTTTTCTGAACTGGTTGGGGGGGGCATGCGTGGGGGGATCAACCCGTACTGACAGGTGGACAGGGACCCCCCCTGTGCTTGCGCAGATGGGCGGGCCACGCTCGCGGATGGGCGGGTCGTGCTCCTGCGCATGCATGGGTGGGTGAAGTGCGCTCATGGTTGGGCAGGCCATGCATGTGGGGTGCACGGGGGGGAAGGGGATCTGTCTCTGCAGCCCGGTCCTGCCATACCTGGCACGGGCCATGGACTGGGTGTTGGGGACCCCTGTACTAAGGTATGTGTTGGGGAGAGATATATGAACCTTACTGTCATTTCTTGTTCAAAGCGCCTGGACATTTGCTCTCGTTGTTGCAGTAGTTTATTACTGAGCTGCTGCTGAGCACGTTGCTCTTCCTTTTGGAGCAACCGTAGCTCCCGTAATTCTTGACGGCTGAAAAATGAGGAAAATAATATTGCAGAGGTGAAAGAAAGTGACAGAATGCAGACTTTTGCATCTGTATATTTAGCATCTGAAGGAAAATGAACTTTTCACTTTGAATAGTTAATTTTATTTATTTATTTATTTATTTATTTATTTATTTACTTACTTACTTACTTACTTACTTACTTACTTACTTACTTACTTACTTACTTACTTACTTATTTACTTACTTATTGCATTTATATGCCGCCCATCTAGACATAGTCTACTCTGGGTGGCTCACAACATACAAGATAAAAATAATTCAATATATATATTAACAGTTTTTCAACAAGTAGTTAAAAAATCAAGACAACCTTTTCCTAAACCAGAAACGGTGAGCCTATGGCACGCATGCCACAGCTGGCATGCGGAACCCTTTCTGCTGGCATGCAATCCATAAGTCGCTGGATCACTACCCCCCCCACCATACAGCCAAACCTGAGAAGGTGGCTGCAGCCAGGGTGCTGGCACTTCGGTAGGTGCATCCAGAGCAGCTGGCACTGGCGGCGGATCCGGAGTGGGGTCTCGAGGCACATCCGTGCCTTGGATTCTCCCTTCCACCACCACTTCCAGTTCCGCCACTGTCACAACCCGCTGCCCGCTAGTTTTTTGTCTGTTTTTTCAATGTGGACACACGAGCCCAAAATGGTTTGCCGCCACTGTCCTAAACCATAATCTAATCACAAAAAATGATAAAAACTGAATTTAAACACCATCCATATAGAAGCTCTTTTAACTCCCAAAATAGACATTCTGTCTCATTTCGAATAAATATTTTTCAACTCACCGAAGGTATCGCAATTCTTCACTTTTAGCATCACTCTCAGTAACTATTTTGGATGTAGTCACACTTACTTCTACACCATCAACAACAAATTTGCGAGTTTTCTTTAGAGTTTTCTTGTGTCTTTTAGTTTCCTGAATAAAAAATGTTAGGAAAAATACAGGAAAAGTTTTTAAGAAAATACTTTACTTTACTTACTTTCTTACTTTCTTACTTTCTTACTTACTTACTTACTTACTTACTTACTTACTTACATGTTGCCCACACTACCCAAAGGTCTCTGGGCGGCTTACAACAATTTGAATATAATAAAAAGATAAAACAATTACAATTAAAAATACAGTGCTCTAAAAATTGCCATCAGGACCCACAGTTGATATTATTTCAATTAAAAACTTTCTGGAACAGGAAGGTTTTGATCTGGCGCCAAAACATCATCAACATCAGTGCCAGACAAATCTCCCTCACAATGGCATTCCATATCTGGGGGCAGCTGCTGAAAAGGCCCTTTGTTTACAAGCCATCCCTCTTACCTCCTTGAGGGATGGCTCTTTCAGGAGGGCCCTCTGGCTAGATCTTAATTGCCCAGAAAACCCCCCAAAGTCACTGTATAACTATAGAAATTCAAAAATATTCTTGGCAACAAAGATTGACTGTGCATGCATGCATAAGCAAAAGGAATTCAGAAATTTAGATATATGGAAATTTCTGAACTGAATTACAGTCCTAATTTTTTTCCAATATTTCTGTCATCAACCAAGAAATCTTGCATATTTATATTTGTGTCAACATCCTGCAGGCTTATGCTGTGAATCTTAGAAACAACGTTAGTTATAATGAATGATGCTTACTTGTAAAGATATTGATCCACTTTCCTTGTTTTTTGTGAGGAAACTGGAAATTGATAAGTTCAAATCAATGCTGCTATTGTCAGCTGCAGAACCAGTGCCTGAATCGGTATCATTTTCTTTAGAGCTTGCAGGATCAAGATGTCGGGAGCTTTCAACATTATCTTGATCAATTGATTTATTTTCTGCCTCATTTTCTGCTTGGCTAATGTTAATATTGGGTACTGAAGAATGTTCACATTCATGCGGTTGCTTGACTGCAGTATTTTCAGGCTTATTTTTAACTTGTGTATCACAGGAAACTGGTGCAAGGCCTGTGTCTATTTGAATGTTATTCTTGTGGTTTTCCCCAGCTCTGCTTTGTAATTTATCTTCAAGTTCTGCAACTTTACCCTCATGTTGACTGCTGCTTTCCTCAGTTCCTCTTGCTTCTTGAGCATGCTTAGTGTTGCTTTCTACTGTCTTCTGTTCTAGACCTTCTACTTTTTCTGGAACTGTGACTTCTGTTTCTTCTGAGGTGTTTACAGTGAGTTTCTCAACTAGTTGCTGATCAGAATCTATCATGCTGTTTTCCCCTACAACAGGGAGTGGATCAGAGGGGACTTCCCCCTGTTCAGAAATACAAACTGCTGTCTCACAAGGAGCACTTCCAGGCACTTTCTCTGCATTTGCAGTCAGCGTTTCATCACCATTATCTGTCTCTTGAGCTCTACTAGTATCTTCTTTTATTTGCTTCCGCAGATCATCAACTGATTTATTTGCATCTGCCTCCCAAGACGTTTCAGTACCAGAAGTGACTTCATAACTCTGACCTTCAGATTCTTTCAGGCCACTATCTTCACATTTGCTATCATCCTGCAACTTGTTAATTTCTTTAATTCCTTCTATGGGGCTTTCTTCCCCAGCTTTATCTTCTTGAATGTCAGTTGTGTTTTCTTTTTCTTCTTTGAAACCAGTATCTGCTAAGATTTGTTCTGTAATTTCTGGGCTACTACCTGCAGTCTCGAGTTTTATTTCTTGTTTATCTTCAATAGTTGATTCATCTGAAAAGTTATCTTTCTTTTCTATGTTCACGTTGGGTTTAACATTATTTTCAGATACTACTGCATCAATTTCCTTTCCTTCTTTCTGCAACCCAGTGTCTTCACTAAATTTTACATCTGGAAGAGTCTTTTCAACTCCATTTTTCTTTGCTTCCTTTTCTTCATGGAGTAATGCAGACCCATTCTGTAGCTTTTCATTATTTTCCTGTGTGGTGTCACTTGTGCTTCCAGTAGATTTCTCTTTCTCAGATCTGTCAGGCTTGGTATGCATTTTTTCACTTTCAAGTGCATTGGTACTGGCTCCCTCTATGGATGATTTCTCTGTTTTTTCAGAAACAGATTCGAGGATAGAGGCATTCTGTGAAAGTTTATCTTCTTCTGAGCTGGCAATGCTGAGGTCAGACGAGGCTCGCTTATCTGTAGGCAACTGCTAAAATATTAATTGAAAATATTATTAGTTACAATTAAAATGTGTAAGAATTAGTACTACATTTGACATCTGGACAAGGCCAACTATTGCAATTGTGACCAAATAACAAATTCTGCTCTAAACTTTTTTATCAGCTCCAGACACATTTTTTAAATAGATCAGAGAAAAGAAGTTAGCATATATTATGACATATACACAAGGAGGCCAGGAAATAACCACGAGAAGCCAGGCTTTCTTTGCTGTGGTACCAACACTTTGGAATCAGCTTCCAATGGAGCTGCACCTGGTTCTCCTTCCTAATATTTAGAAGGATTTTGAAGATGCTGCTTTACAAAGAGTCCTTTCAACGCAATTTTTATGATTTCTATGCCTCGCATCCTGCCTTTTATTTGGAAATTAGGCCTCTTGTAGTATCTGTTACTATTTTTACTTTTAATCTCATTGGTTGTTGGGTTTTTTATTATGCTCCAAACAGCCCAGAATAGTGCTTTGCATTAATGGGGATGTATACAAATAAAAACAAGTCAAGTCAATCGATAAATGATATACATTTGATTCTAACATTTCTTCAAGATCATGAACCAGGTGTTTCAACAGTCCCTGGCTCTTGCAACTGTAGCATATGTTGTTCAAGAGTCAGGCAATCCTTTCAGTGAAAAGGTGGAGTCTCTGTGTTTCACTGATGGTCCTATACACAGCTACAGCCCCCTGTCTCATAACATGCTGATGAGACCCTTGGTGCTCAGAGAAGTGATTTTTAAAATATGTAAAGTGTTGTGACTGGAAGGAGACAGTAGGAACATCTCATTGGTCAATGAAACTATGCTCATGGTTCTTTGAATCCTGCCCTTGTCTTTGTGTGCCAGAATATACAGTATATACCGTATTTTTCGCTCCATAAGACGCACCTCTCAATAAGACGCACCAAATTTTTTGGAGAAGAAAACAGGGGAAAAAATCTGTTTTCTTCTCCTAAAAATTGGTGAGCCTTCTGGAGAGGTCCGTCTTATGGAACGCAACCTAGGACCCTTTGGAGGCTTACCAGCCCCCCCCCGAAGGCCAGAGGGGGCAGAATCACCACCTTCTGGGGCTCTT